AATCTAGGACCAGGAACCCCCAATGAGGACAGACTTCATGGAACCTGGTCTTAGGACTGGAAGGCCCCAAGCTTCCTCGGGGATCTCACCCTGGTGCTCCGCCATTAAGGAGAGAGGAGCGATCCAGCTGGATGGCTCCTCTCTCTGAGTCATCTTCTCTCTACCTCTCTCTGCTTCTCTTCCCCACACTAATTCTAATAGGGTTTTCCATAGCATGTCTCTGGTAGAACACAAGATAACTTTTAGAATGTTCATCAATGAACATTCTTATTTTGAACACTAAATATTTATTTTAATATATATTTGGGGATAACACATCTAAAAAGTGAGTTGATTTATAGGAAAATAGTCGGTAGATAAATATTCAAGTTATGTTGATATAACAAAAATTGTGAAGATGAACTGCAAATGACAGAAGTTTGAAAAACACTGGGCTGGCTGAGTCCCTCAATATTTCACTGTCAGGTTCCCAGGATATGGAATCTTAGTGACCCACCTCATTCTCCAATTTAGGAGAATAAAAAGCTACCTATGGATTGGTTGCCCTTGGATCCAGTATGCATCCCTGCATAAATCAGTGGCCAGACAGGTAGGGTACGTTATGGAATATGACTGCCAAAGGTCAGACCCAAAGCAGTTTCTCTAAGAAAATTTTGTGAGCTGGTACTATTAGATATGTTATTGAAGGTCCCTGGTTCAATTATACCTCCTGGGGCCCTGCCGCTATCCTGGAGTTTCTAAGGTGGATTTATGGTTTCCATCCCCCTATGACCTTTATCTCATGTAAAATATAGCATAACCTATGCCTTGAGGAGCTCTGGTGGTGCTGTGGTTAAAGCATTGAGCTGCTAACCAAAAGGTAAGTGGTTCAAATCCACCAGCTGCTCCACTGGAGAAAGATTCTTTCATAAAGAAACTCTAAGAAAGTTCTACTCTATCCTATACCTGAGGCATTTGACTGGTAGCCAGAAGGCTGGCGGAACAAACCCACCAGCCACTCCTCGGAAGGAAGATGGGGCAGTCTACTTCCATAGTGATACTGCCTCGGAGGGTTCGCTATGAGTCAGGTCCGACTTGACGGCACATAACAACAACAACAACAACAGCAACGAGCTGCAATTGACTCCGTGGCAGTGGGTTTGGTTTTTTGGTGCGTATTCTCTGCCCTGAGGGGTGGTTGTAAGAATTGAATGTGATCACTGCTTAAAAAAAGTACTTCAAAAATATTAAGCTCCATACAAATTAAGATGTTATTTTCACTGTCTGATAAATTTTTATTATGAGTGACATAGAATGTGTACACAAATTCCAAAGGGAATAGCTCATTTTTTCATAAGAAATCCAAGGCTTAGTGTTTGAACTGAACAGACTGAAGTTCTATCAGCAAGTTGGGTGAACTCAGACTTGGCTGCCTTTTCAACTGTGTGCCCCTGTCTCAGTTTCCTTATGTTTAAAATGGGAACCTCTGTACCTGGCTTTCCTTCCCTCGGGGCTAGGGTAATGAGCAAGAGCCTTGCTTTCTTCTCTCTACCCTAGTGAGCTGGGTGACAGTGAGCATGTTTCTTCACCCCTTGTGCCTCAGCCCCTGCATGGATCGAATGAGAGATTTGAACAAGGTGATCTCTACCATCTTTCCTTTCCATCTCCCTGAATAATTCTACTTGATTCTGACCACCTAGCCTATGGATCAACTCCCCCACTTCCACCTGCTTGGTTATCCAAAACCTTTCTTCCCAAAATACCGTAGTATAAAGAGAAGAGCATCATGCACAGCCTGTTTTAGATGATAAGCATTTCTGAAAAGTTGTATCCATGTCACGTTTTTGTAATACAAACTCTATATTCCTTTTGCCTTAGCTTATCTGTTTAGAGACTTTTCTTTTCATTATTATTGATCCTCAGTTGGCTGCAGTTGCTCACTGTTTGATCTTCCTTTTTATTTGGATACCACCCACACTGCCTCCCCTGCCCCCTCAGTCTCTCTATTAAACAGTAATGACAGGTAAACAAACTCTGGGGCACTTGGGGAGCAAAGGAGCCCTGCAGCCAGCCTCCCTTGGGCCTGTGAATTGTCATTCCTGAACCCATCTGTTTTGTAAGTTCTTCTGCCAAATTTCTGTGGGAGCAGAGGGATCATTTTCTCCCTTTTCAAAGAGAAGGGTGAGTTGAGGCCTCGAGCTGGCAAGTCCTTTAAAGTCATTTTCAAAGGAAACCTGAGCTGAAAGGCCTTGTGGTTGGCAGAAGGTGGTGTGACTTTCGGAGGCTGTCTCTGGGGCTTTGGGTGGTCAGCTCCCGTAGGCTTCCCAGCGCGTGCTCGGAGCCTGCCCCAGAGGCGCTGCCAAGGGACACCACTGGTCAACTAGTAACCAGTCGGCCCAAGAAAGGCTCCACTTCATGTCCCCACCCCATTGCCACTCAGGAATGGGAAGAGGGGGCATGCAGACTTCGCTCTGGGACAATGGCCAGAACCACACTTGTCCTCACTGTTCTTAGGTCCCATCAATCAAACTTGATCCTTGGGGTTTTTTGAGGTAAAAGAAAACTGAGTGCCAGAGAAACTAGGCTGGATTTATGTGTGAATCATGGAATCATAAATGATCTAGTTAATCCAATCTCTCTCACACAGGTTGCAAATGAGACCCAGAGAGGGAGTGGTTGTCCCAAAATACAAAAGGAAGAGGTGACAGGCAATGGTGGTTCTGTGGTAGAATTCTTGCCCTCCATGTAGGATACCAGGGTTTTATTCCCAGACAATTCCAAAAATCAGCCAATGAACTCTATGGGTCACAACGGTCTGATCTATAACTGATCATTGGGATGGTGCAGAACTAGGCAATGTTTCATTTTGTTGTGCATTCTCCCTACTGCAATAGTCCTTACAACAACAAATGCAAAAAGAAGAGGTGGCAGACTCCCACTACAGGAACAAAGGACACCTCTGCAGTGATGGAGGTTTTCTTGGCAACTGGCCATTCCTAAAGCTTCAAGTCTACAGATGGCTGTCAATCACTCAGCAGATATCAGACTTCAAATGCATGGAGCCCTAAATATGGGTGGCAGGGCCAGATACCTCCCTTACTGTCATATGTTGCTGAATGGAAAACCAAAGCCAAACCTATTGTCATCAAATTGATTCTGATTCATAGTGACCCTATAGGACAGAGAACTGCTCCACAGAGTTTCCAATGCTGTAATTCTTCACAGAAGCAGACTAACTCATCTTTCTCCCATGGAGCAGCTGGTGGGTTTGGACCATTGACTTTATACTTAGCAGCCAAGTGCTTTAACCACTGGGCTACCAGAGCTCCTTACGGAATGGAGAGGAATAGTTTATGAAGCCAGGGGCAAGAAAAGCCCTTTCACATCACAGAATAGGCAAACCAAAGCCCACAGTAGGAAGAGACTCATAGATTTGTGTCAGAAGTTATTTAAAGCTCAGTCAAGAAATCTCAAATGAAAAACAGAAAGAGGAGAGCATCAGCTCGAAATAATGGTAAATGGTCCATCCAAAACATTCTCATGACCAGATCCTGAATCTGCAGGCTGTCCAGGGCTGGGAACCAAGTGTGGGCCCATAGCTACCTACCAGAAGCAAGCCCCAGTGGATGCCAAATAAGCACTTTTCTAAGACTCCATTAACTAGCAGTTCTCTCTGTAAGCTCTTTAAGGGCTGAGAGAACCAGACCAAAAAAAAAAACAGTTGCCATCAAGTCAATTGTGAATCATGGCAACCACACGTGTGTCAGAGTAGAACTGTGCTCCATAGAGTTTTCAAAGACAGTGACCTTTCAGAAGTCGATGGCCAGGCCATTCTTCCGAGGAACCTCTGGACGGACTTGAGCTTCAATCTTTTTATTAGTAGTTGAGCATGTTAACTGTTTCTACCACCCAGGGACCCCCGAGGGAACCATACATACACCCAAGCCCTGCCTCAAACACAAGACCTCTGGAACAAGTCAACTTGACTTTTCATTATTTTATTCTTGTATTTGTACAGCTATATTTTACAACGCGGTAATGCAGTTTAGACACAGCCAAACCCTGTCTCCGGAGTAGTTATAACACAAGCATGACGCAGAATGTGATGAGACAAACGTTCCCAAAGAGAGTTTAGTTAGTGACAATTTCAAGTCCCTGTGTCTGTCTACACTTCAAAAAGGGATGGCACGCGCTTGTCCATCATTGAAAACTTCCATGAAAAAAGGCACCGTGAGGACACGTTGTACAGGTATATACAAACTGAAAACTAGAACAAAATTACACATTTTCCTTCTGTAGCTTTTTTTTGTTCTTTTTCTTTTTAATACACACTTTGTAAATTGTAAACCTTCACTTGCAAAAAAATACAAATACACTGAGGCATTTTAGACAAAATATTTTCTTACTTATACAGATGCAATACTTAAAATATTCTCTTAAGTGCTCTTTCTCAATAAAGATTCTCAAATCCGTGTCTGCCTGCAGATACAAAATCGAGCCTTTAACACAATTTTATATATTTAATATATCTTTTTTAGGTTTATATATTTACAACTCTGCCATATATTCCTTCACCTTTGGTTAAAAAAATTAAAGCCCTCTCTTTGATAACACACTGAAGTCTCGTCTTTTAAAAGAATGCACATTTACATACAAAAGAAACATCTGTTCCCACAAAACATATACATTCCTCATTTTGCAGACTAAGTCAAGTCAGAACTCTTGCATACTCCCCCACTTTAATATAGAAAATGATTTTGCTTTTTGCTGACATGGTTCGCCTTACACATAGGAGAAGAAGCAATATTATTTTCTTAATGGTTTATGGCAGTGGAGGAAGGGGAGCTGCCTTTGCTCCCTGTCCCCTGTGCCTACCCAGGCCCTCCCCCTCCCCCCAGCTATGATTTGCACTAGTGGATGAAAGAGGCACTACATCATGGGATGACCATTGTAAAGTGTTACAGTATCCTTTGGGAGATTCTGAGAAGGGGCTCAGGAGGAAAGCATCAACACTCCATGCTTCAGCAGGCTTTTGGGAGTTCCGGAGGCAGGTCAGTGGCGGACACGCGGTATTGCACCTTGGTGTTGGTGATGGCGCCGTGCTTCTGGCGCAAGTGAAGACGCAGCTGGCTTTTGTGACGAAAATGCAGGTTACACTTCTCACACTGAAGGAAAACCAGAGGCAACCGATTAGCTGTCATCAACCCAGAAGCTTGTCATTGCCCAGAGCCCCAGAGAAGGATATTCTCCTTGGGACGGACTAGGACAGCTTTTCCCTCCCAAAGGCCAGGTTAAGAACCCAGAAGAATCCTATCTTCTGGTAAGAGCCAAGTCAAAAAAAAATTCGACTGTCATCAAATTGACTCTGCCTCATGGCAACCCCATGTGTGTCGGAGAAGGACCATGCACCGCAGCATTTCCAATGGCTGGATTTTCAGTAAATTGCCAGGCCCTTCCTCCAAGGCAACTCTGGATGGACTCGAATTTCTACATTATGCAAATGTCCCTTCCCTGCTTTCTAAAACGTTGCTTAAGCTCCCCCTCCCCATATGTCTTTCCCTGCTTAAACTACACAAGCTCAAATCTTGTCCAAAAACACAGCTCAGATGTAAATTCCCCTAATTATTAAATTTTCCTGAATCTTTCTAGGATGAAAATAACCCACAGTTCCTTTGAACCACCTGACACATAAGCATCTTTGTGCTTTATCACCCTCATCAAGTGGGGAACTCTTAGAAAACAATGACTACTTCTTACTAAACTTTACTATCTTCCTAGTACCTAGCAGAATAGACCACTTAGGCATTTATACAATAAATCAGGATATTTGGACAAACAGATTAGATCAATCTAAACTCATGGAAATTCTGGAGCCTAGGATACTTTTCTTTTTCTTAATGCAGTTATATTCTTTCTTTGTGCCCACATTTTAAATAAGCTCAAAAACTATGAGTCAATAGAGATGTTTCTTGCTTTGACTAATGAATGAATGTTAACAATTTTAGTGAAAAAAAAGTTACTTAAAAGTAAAATCGATAATGAAGTGTAAAGTGGCAACCTAAATGAGATGCTGGGACAGAATAAGGACATTAGGTAAAAACTGAGGAAATCTAAATAAAGCAAGTACTTTAATTTATAACAATGTATCAATATTGGTTCATTAGTGGTGAAAAATGTAGTATGTTAACAAGGGGACAAAAAGGGGGGGTGGGATATGGGAACCTTCTGTATTTCTTTGTAACTTTTATATAAATCTATAAAAATTAAAAATAAAAAAAAACCTTGCTGCCATTGAATCGATTACAATTCAGTGACCCTATTGGGTTTCCGAGGCAGTAAATTCTTTATGGAAGTAGATTGCCCCATTTTCCTTCCATGAGACAGTTGATGGGTTTGTACTGCCAACCTTCTGGTTAGCAGTCAAATGCCTTAGGTACTGTGCCACCAGAGCTCCTTTATATAAAGCTATAACTATTTTTAAAGTAGAAAAAGTTTATTTTAAAAGCATCATATACAGGCTATGTTTTAAAGTCACAATAGAAATTGATTTATAAAAATGAAAAATAAGTAATATGAGTAGGACAGGGAATAGAAAAAGCCCTGGCTGGACATGAGACAGGAGGTCCCCCATACCTAGGCTACCTACTCCTTCCTGTGTAGCTTGAGCAACTCATTTCTCTCTCTGGGCCTTGGCTCCCCCTTCTGTAAGAGGCCGAGTCAATATATGTTGACTGTCACTTCCACATCTGATATCCTATACATCTAAAATTCTCGCAAATAATAACATCAAACACTATGTTTCCCATGTACCAAGCACTGCCCTGGACACTCCAATGAATGGTTTGACATACTACAGGAACTGCATGAGGTAGGTACTACCATCAAGATTTTACAGATGAATATAAACTGAAAATAAGAAGACATTCACTCAATGCTTGATAAATGAGTTTCATTCAGCCACAATTTGTGGGTTAATATTAGTGGTCAAGGTTAAACACTCACTAATAGTTCCCAGTTCTTGAGCCCATCACCACCTGAAAGTGATGGCAGAAATGCATCAGTCAAGTCAGAGAAGTGGGCATCACTTTTAAGAGTGATTCATACTTGCAAGTCATACGATTTTTTTTTTCTTTTTTCTCTTTTTTACATGAAAATTCATTTGGAAATCTGAATGGTAAAAGAGGTTCCAGTAACAATTAGCCCAAGGGACTAGTGGACCATGCAAATCTCAGTCTATCTGTCTACAAGACCAGAAGAACTAGATGGTGCCTGAGTACAACTGTCAATCACTCAGAAAAGGATCATTGCAGGTGATCCTAGACAGAGTCAGAGAACAATGTGAACTAAACTCAAAATTATAAAAAGACCAGGGTTACTAATCTGATAGAGCCTGGTGAAACCCCCGAAACTATGGTCCCTAATTACCCTTCAGGCCTGAAATTGAACTCACACCTGTAGCTTTCAGCCCACCAACAGACAGGCATATAGGGTGAACATTTACACCAGGCAGATACACTCCTTAGAACAATCAATCATGGGAGAACAGAAGGGCAGTTTTGCACAAGGAGACAGCTCAAGAGGCAAGAATGCATGGGACGAAAGGCCACAGGAAAGAGGTAACTACATGGAGGAAGTGAGTGGAAGAGAGCTGTTACACTGTGGAGAATTGCAGTCAATGTCATGAGACAAAATGTGTATGAACTGCTGTATGGAAAATGAATTTACTCTGGAAAATTTCACCCAAATCACAATAAAAATTTAAAAAAAAAAAAAGAGGTTCCAGCACCAGTCCAGACTGGTCCTGTGGGATTGTAGAACCTCTGTGATCAAAAGAGGTTGAAAACTGCTCATCTGGAGCATCCCCATCATTTCAGAGAAAGAGAGGGGCTGAGAAGGCAGCAGGGTTGAGGGCCGTAGAGGAGAAGGCTGCCCAAAGCTATCAAAAGGTTGGCATCAGAGTCAAAACAAGGACTTAAATATCCCAGCTGGTCAGCCAGTATCTTTTCCCTCTAAAGCAGAAGTTAACACACTTTTCTTGAAAAGGACTAGATAATAAATTTTAGGCTTTGGGGCCATACATTCTTGATAACGACTCAACTCTGCGGTTGCAGCATGAGAGCAGCCATAGAAAATATATAAACAACTGAATATGGCTATGTTCCTATAAAACTTTATTTATGGACTCTGAAATTTTATTTTCATATCATCTGCATGTTTCACAAAATAGTCTTTTGATTTTTTTCAATCACTCAAAAATGAAGAACACACACATATATATATATATATATATATTTAAACTCACAAAGCATACAAAACTGGCCTATAGGCCACAGTTCGCCAAGTTCTAGTCTAGAACATAACTTCCACGACCTATTCATGGCAACAAGGAGCCCTGGTTGTGCCGTGGTTATGTACTCAGCTGCTACCACCTGCTTCATGGGAAAAAAGATCTGGAGATCCATTCCTGTAAAGATTACGGCCTAGGAAACCCTGTGGGGCAATTCTACGCTGCCTATAGGATCACCATAAGTTGGAATTGACTCAAGAGCACACACAACACCAACATTCATAGACATGCTACACAGCTGGCCATCTCCTCCTTTTTAAAATACCCTTTCTCTGATCTTTCCCTCATACCAACACATTCTTCCAGTTCTGTTCCTACTTCTGTAACTCCTCCTTCTCAAACACCTTAGCTCTTTTTAAATGTTCATCTAGGCCAGTAGTGGCATGTTGTAGGCATGTAGTAAGTATTTGTGGAATGAATGAATGACTACGTATCTATGTATCCATTGTACAGATCTTTTCCCTAAGGCCTAAAATCACCTAGCTCAATACCCCCATTTTAAAGATGAGCAAACTGAGGCCTTGGTAGATTTCAAGTAGGGTGTCTTTGACAGTCAAGTCTAAATCCAAGTCTTCTAACCATTAGTTCACTGGTCATCCCACTATGTGTTTGAGACTGAAGTAAAAGCTTCTGCCATTCCATCCTTCACTTCCCTACTCTTCCAAAATCAGCCAGTGACACAAGAAGCTCACATACATGGTACGGTTTCTCTCCCGTGTGAATTCGCAGGTGGCTCTTCAGAGTCTGAAGGTGCCGGAAACGAGTGCCACAGATTTCACAAGGATAGGGTTTTTCACCAGTGTGGATAAGCACATGGGCACGGAGGTGGGCCACCTGGATGGAGAAGCAGAATATGAGAAGGTCCATCAGGTTAGGCTGCAGAACCCCCTGGCATCCCTCCATCAGCAAGCACTCAGCAGGCTGAGGAGTTCTTACACCATGCCACCCTGCTCACCTGTACAAATCTGGCTCCACAGGTTTCGCATTTGTAGGGCTTCTCTCCAGAGTGAATTCGAGTATGGGTTTTCAGGTTGGCTGGCCGGTTGAACTGGGCCCCACAGATATTGCAACGATAGGGTTTCTCCCCTATTGCCGAGAGAAAGGGGAAAAGGGGAGAACAGCCATATTCAATGGGAAGGTTTCCACAGCTTCTGGGCCCTGGGTTTCAAAGCAAACTGCTCCTCCTTAGGGCTGCTTTTATCTTCCTTTCCTTGGATGATGTAAGATAGAGAACCCAGGCCTTCCACCTGGTCTGCTGCCCCTTCTCTCTCTCTCATACCCACACATGAACACACACATCTTGCAGGGGCCAGAACTGAGAAGCAAGGGGTGGCATATGGGACAGGGTAACAACATGGGACAAGAAATGAGGGACTTCCAGGAAGCAGCTTTGAACCAATTTCGTTATTACAATTATCTGGCTGCAGAACTTGGACAAGTCACACTCCTTCTCTGGGCCTCAGTTTCCCCTTTCAGGAGCTAATTTAGTTAACCACAGAAGGCTGTTCTAGCTGTTCTCTTGGATAAGACTGATTCAATAATCAACTCACTCACTAGGGAGATAAAATCAGCCTGCTCTAGTTTCTCTCTGTTAGAACAATGTACAGCCCCCACCACTACTACCATCATGACAACTACAGCTGGATTCCAGTTGTAAGAAGAGTGGGGCCTGAGTTTGAGTAGACGCTCAGCCGGAAGAAACCAAAAGACAGACTGAGTCTTCCCTCAAGGAAAGTTTCTAGGATGAACTCTTTTAAAGTATTGAGAGAGAGTAAACTTTGGAGAATAATCAGGTCATTAGAAGAGATCTTTGGGAGCTCTGGTGGCATAGTGCCTAAGGCATTTGACTGTAACCAGAAGGCTGGTGGTTCAAACCCACCAGCCACTCCTCGGAAGGAAGGTTGGGCAATCTACTCTATAGTGATATCACCTCGGAAACCCAAGGAGGGATCGCTAAGAGTCGGGTCCAACTCAACAGCAGTGAGTTTTGTTTTTTTTCCTTAGTCAAGGAATGGGAGCAAGTCTTTAGGGGAAGTCAAGAGGCCTTTAATGTTTTGCCTCTATCAAAACCTAATCCACTTTGCTTCTTTCAGCCTCAGTATCTTCACCTGTACAATGGGATAAATACTCCTGACCCAAGCAAAGGCAGAAAAGCAGGACAGTGTCTGAGAGAAAAGACAAAGGATACAGGAGGTGGAGCAGACACTAAGCAAGGACAAAACAGGGTGAAGCCCCGCCATTCAAGCCAGGACAGCGCGTGCTCCCTGCCTCACCCCACCAGGGACCAAGGACCCACACAACTTTCTCCTGGATCTTCTCCCTGTCCCACACCCAATAATCCTGGAGAGCTCAGGTGGGGTAGGGCAGGGCCATACCCGTATGGACGGTCTTGTGGCTGGCGAGGTTGCCCTTGTAGCGGAAGGAGGCCTGGCAGCGGTCACACTTGTAAGGTTTGTCACTGTGGGTCTGCAGGGTGTGCCTCTTGAGCGAGGCCTCCTCAGAAAAGCGGCAGTCACATTCATTGCAGAAGAAGGCCCCATTCTCTGTCAGGGACAGGAGGGGACACCAAAGTCAGCACAGGGGGAAGGGGAGAGGGCTCCAAGGCCTCTCTCTTCCCTACCCCCAGTGCCAAACTGAACCGTCAGCCCACTGCCCACCCAACACATGGGAGCCAGAGCAAAAGACCCATGGGATTTTATTTTTCTTAGCATTTAGGGTCTCAGTCATGGAGAAGAAAGGACAGACACAGAAGGGAAGCTCAAACCACCAGGTACCCATATGGCTGGCACTAGCACAAGGAACGTTCATCAGAGCTTTTGCTTCCCTCAAGAGCTCTGAGAACTGACTTTTCTATTCGGTTCATAGTTTTATCCACAGTCATACATGGAAGCCCTTTGGCAAGATGCTTCACCTCTCTGATCCTCCCTTTTGTCTCTATCTCCAAAATCAGGAAAATAAGTCCCTGTCCTGCCTACCTCACAAGCGCATATTGGGTAACACATAATGAAACACAAAGCACTGCAGGATGTGAGATATAAATCAAGTTCAATTATACTTTGAGATCAATGAAGGTAGAATTATTGATGATGGATTCGTCTGTGGGTGTCCTTGTACCTATCTGGATGTCATGTCTCCCAAACACTTTTGTGAGCTTGGGAGAGCCACAGATGATGGCAGAAGTGGAAACAGAGGCCCAGAGAGAAGGAACTTGGAGTGCAGAGCAAAGGCAAATGGCCAGGGGGACAAGCGGGGACAGTCCCAACTCTCCCATCTATATAGGTCCAAGGCCCTAGGCCAAACCTCTCAATGTAAGCAAGTGATTTTTTTTTTTCCTTCTGTTATAACCATTTGAAAAGGCCATGCCACTGTAGTTTAACCCTGATTAGGGATTACTGGGCTACAGTTTTGCTGGGTGTAGAGTTCAATTTTATTTGGTAAAAATCATAGACCATCCTGAGACTTCAACTGAATGATTCAGTTCAATTATTTTAATTCAACTGGCAACTACTGAAAATGAACCCCATGCGAGGTACTTGCTAGGACCTATGGGTGATGCAGGATGGATAAGGTCCACAGTCCAGCAGGAGAGAACTAACAAGCACACAGATCAGCTCCAGTAGCTCTGTAATGCAGGGACCCAGAAAACTCAGGGAGCCATACGCAGCCCTGCAAACTACCTTTGCTGGAAAGGAGCTGAAAGGCTGACTGGTCAGTCCAGATTACTCCAGACTAACTCTAACACCCCATCCCCTGTTTTGGTTGGCCCAGTTCCCTAAAAGGTCAAGAGCAGAGTGATCAGCTGTAATTAAAAGTACCTGTGGATGCATTTCCAATGGGGACTTCTACCAATCAGAGACAATAGCATAAATAAAATGAAAATCCCCAAAGCTCATGGAGCAGAGGCAAGGAGCTTCATTCACCCTGGGAAGGGGAGGGATGGAAAGAGACTCACCACAGCTGGAATCTGAGTATTCAGACTGGGTCTCTCCCATCTCCTCGGGGAAGGGAGGGCCCGCGGTGTGGAGGCACATCTCTGCATGCTGCGGGGACTGTGAACCGCAGGAGGTGCACTTGGGAGGGTGCATATAGAGTGGTGAGTGGCTCTCGCTGCTGCTGCGGGGAGATCCTGTCAGGGATCTGTGGGCAGGAGTAATGAGAACCTTAGCACCTGGACCAGGATCAAGCATGCTGCTTTGCCTCAATGCCATCCTCTCCTCTGTGGTCAGGTAAACTCAGAAGGCAGAGTGGCCCCATTCCAGAGCCTCGTGCCCACCTCCAAGCAGCATCTGCATACAGATCACTAACTGGGGTCAAGACAAGCCCAAATCCCAAGTGGGATCAGTTTCTTCCCCTCAATACTGCAGCCAGCAGCCTCAGTTTGAAGGAAGTAAGAGGATCCCCTTCCTCTGGGATTCATGGATTGCTCATCCTTGATTCTAAAGAGGAATCATCTCTCTTGTTAAAAAATATACTTAAGCATCAACTTCCAGACTTAAGCTTATTCACTCACTAGGCACTGATTCTACACCTCTTCTATGCTCAACATTTCAGGCAAGGGAAGAACACAGCCCCTACACCCATCAGATGCAGAGGGACAGGAGGGGAAATGAGCCCACAGTCCTACCCAAGTGGCTCAGATTCTAGGACCTGGATGACTGTGAAATTACCTGTTGACAATGTTATTGAGCCGGCTGGCCTGCGGGATGGTGGAGTCCTCCCCACCAACACTGAGCTTGGTTGGGGACTGGAGATCAAGGTTGTCAGGCTCCATGGGTGGCTGGCAGGCAGGTGGGGCAGTGTAGGTTCGAGGGGAAAGGCGTCCCAGCTCACCCTGCTCAGGCCCCTCAGGTTTGGCATTCTGATTCAGGCTGTTGAGCACGATGAACTTGTATTTCTTCCAGTTGCAGGCTTTGGGGTCAGTAGGGCTTTTGGCTGGAGGGGAGCCAGAGGTCTGAAGGATGCAGGCATTCTTACTGCTGCAGGACTCTGTCGGTGAGTTGGGCTGGCAGTCGGACTTTTGTGGGCTCTGCGGACTAACCAGACCCTTCCGGTTCAGGGGCGCATTAGGAGGCTCGAAATGCAGGGCAATCTCATCCTCTGAGGAGGGCCTCTCTTCCTCCTTGCCAGCCTTGTCACAGGGGAAGTATGGGGGGTTCCGGGCCGAGGGGGCAGCAGGCTTGAGGCCCTCAGCCACACTGTAGTGCATGTCACTTCGTGTCTCCTCAGGGGCTGCCTCCTTAGGTGCGTAGATGCTGCTGTGGCACAGACTGGGGGATACTTCCATGGCCGGCCGACTATACTCACTGGGAACAGGCCTGGCACTGTCACAGGGAAGGGCTCGCTCCTTGGGGAAGGGGTTGGCCATGGGCATTCGGGCATCCCGCAGTTCCTCATCGGAGAAGAGGAAGCTGCTGACCGGGAGGTGGCTGTACACAGGATAGGAAGCTGGTGGTGTGGACAGGCCACTGTACAGGCTGGGGGCAAAGGTTCTGCTATCACACCCAGGGGCATTCCTCAATGGCAGGTTGTTCTCCACCACCTCACGACCCCGATAGGCCATGATATCTTGAGGCATCAGCATCCGACTGCTCAGGAACTCCTCACGGGGAGGCTTAATGGCAGGAACCATCTCTGCCTCACTGCAGGAGAAAGAAGAGAAGAAAATGACCCCAAATCAGTACTGTTAAACAGATGACCTTCCAGATGACACTATCATGTATTATCTATCAACTAGACATAGGGGATGTGGCTCTGGAGCAGGAAATACAATTAATTACAAGGCTTGTTGTTGTTATGTGCCATCAAGTCGGACCGACTCATAGCAACCCCTCCTTTGGTTTCTGAAGCAGTATCTTTACCGAAGTAGATTGCCCAACCTTCCTTCCGAGGAGTGGCTGGTGGGTTTGAACTGCCAGCCTTCTGGTTAGCAGCCAAGTGCCTTATACCCTAAGCTACCAGAGCTCCTAATTACAATGCATTCATGGTAAAGTCCAGCAACCTAACTCACAGATGGGGAAACTGAGGCCCAGAGAAGCAAAGTGAATTATCCACACAATCTATGCCCAATTAGACATGATCTTGCCTTTTTAAGTCACAGATACATTCTTATAAGGAGCTCTGTGGCACAGTGCCTAAGGCATTTGACTACTAACCACAAGGTTGGTAGTTCAAACCCACCAGCCACTCTGTGAAAGGAAGACAGGGCAATCTACTTCTATAAAGATTTACCACCTCAGAAACCTAATGGAGGTTGCTATGAGTCAGAATTGACTCCATGGCAGTGGGTTTGGTTTGGTTTGGTTTTTTTGTATATACTCTTATGGTGTTATAGCTCTCACATTACAGAATGTTATGACTCACATAGAGCTTTCAGAGTTCTTACTCATTTTGCACATGCATAATCCTGCAAGGAAGGTAAGGCAGGCATTATGCCTCTGTTTTACAGATGTGGAAACTGAGGGTCTGGAAGATAAGAATGTACACAGCGCTGCTATCTGACTTTCTAATAGTCACAGACAAACTGGTGCCCTGTCAAAGAGCAATAAGGATAAGGTCGTGACTTGCCCCTATGCTGACTGGTGTTTCTGGAAAATTCACCATGGAGCACAGACAGTGTATGCCAGTTTAAGAAGCCCGGGCCCTGGAGCAGTAAGACCTGCTTGCCAATCCCAGCTGTGCCACTTAGCAGCTGTGACCTGGAGCAACTTATTTAGCTGCTTTGAGCACAAGGCCTGACCCAGAGAAAGTACTCTTAAATGACAGCAATGACGATCTTGCCACTATTATCGCCCACAGGAGACAAAGAGCTCTGGCTGCATATACTTGAAGGAACATTATGTGGGTGAAAAAATAGGCCAGCTCAACATGATCACAGTTAACAGAACTACAATCAATGAGTGAAGGTGAGAGGAGACAGATTTCAACTCACCATAAAAGAGCTTTCTAACAGAACAAGGCAGATTGGGTGGCTCTGAGAACAGTGAGTTTCTGGCCCCTGGAAGTGTTAAGACAGACACTGGAAATCCCTTCTGTTTGAGGAAGGAGTCATGTACCCTGGAGCAGCTGAATTAAATGGTCCTTAAGAGGTTCAGCCCCAGTTCTCCCAGTTAGGCAAAATTCTTCTCTTCTTTAGATCTCAGGTTCCTCACTTTTAAGTGACAGTCATGTCTTATAGCCCTCGGGTAAGGAGTTAGACCCAATGAACTCAATTCTATCCAACAAATGTCCTCCCCAATAAGAGCAGTGTGACATAAACGATGAGTAAGGCAGCCCAATGACCTTGAGCAGTCTATAGTCTGATGGGGAACTAAGGCACATATGTTAACAGTCATAGTTGAAGTCTAAAGGAGAACTAAAACATATATGCAAATAGTTAAAATAGAAAGAAGGTCTAAAACAAAAGAGGCAAAATGCTGAAGGAGGAAGAATGATAACCAGAAACACTTTATGGAAGAGCAAGGCTTTGAGGATGGGAGAGAGAAAAGGGCATATCAAGTGAATGGAAGAAAACAAGAGGTGAGGATGGCAGGACATATCTGGACAGCAGCAAGGTGTCAAGTCTGGTTGCGGTGGAAGAGGGAAGAAGGGGTGGAGTGTACAACAATAGTGGAAAGATAGGTTGTGGCAGATATGGGAGAATTATTTTTTCCATATCCACAGAGAATATCAAAGGTCACTGACCAGAAACCACCCCTTCAGGCTGCAAAGCTTCCACCCAGATGCTAGCTTACCTGGCCTTGATAAACTTCCGGCAAGTGTCAACAACATGCTCCATCTGTAGGTACATAGCTGTGGCCATCACAGCCATGATGTTGCCCTCGCGCAGATTGAGCCGAGATGTGTACATGAAGTCCAAGAGGATACAGAACCCCTCAGGGTTGATCTCAGGATCCAGATTGATCACACTAAGGTTGCATTTCAACTGGTCTGTGAAGATGCTGTAGAACAGGCCACTGTGAAACAAACAAAGGTCACAGTTGAGCAGACATATAGAATCAGTAGGCTGTTATAGTCAATATTAGTGTCCAGCCCTGCTTCTTTGGGCCTAGTCTAGAACTTCCATGGCAATTAGTTGTTGTTGTTGTTGTTGTTGCTGTTGTTGTTGTTATGTGCTGTCAAGTCGAACCCGACTCACAGTGACCCCTCCTTGGGTTTCTGAGGCAGTATCACTACGGAAATAGATTGCCTGATCTTCCTTCCAAATGGCAATTAGTAATAGCTGCTAATAAATATGGAGAACTTATTAAATGCCAGATAATCATTAAGCACTTTACATGTGTTCTTCATAATCTTGCAAGGTAGTGCTATCATTTCCCCCTTTTACAAACAGGGCAATTAATATCAGAGAAGTTAAGTGGTTTCTTCCTCAAAATTACAGAGCCTGTTTTCCTATTAGTCTTAACTGCATGGATAGTTATTGTTGTTAGGTGCTGTCAAGTCAATTTCTATTCACAGTGACCCCATGTGACAGAGTAGAACTGCTCCACAGGGTTTCTTGGCTATAATCTTTATAGGAGCAGATTTCCAGCTCTTTCTGGGTGGGTTTGAACTGCCAACATTTTGCTTAGAAGCTGAGTGGTTAACAGTTGCACCACCAGGGTTCTGCCTGCATGGACTATCATTGTTAAATTTAGTGCTCATTTGCAGTAACTATTCTTAGTCTACGTCTTTGAGATAAGCATTTCCTCTCTTGTTCCATCACCTTATCCTTAAAAAAAAAAAAAAAAATCCTACCTTTTTTTTTAGAAGTAGGCTGGGAATGATGATAAATAAATAAAAATATGCCTACATCTATAGTCTACCGCTTCTCTAAAAGTTTACAGACTATTATAAGGTCAATTACTCCTAGAAGTTCCAAGTCAAAGGTTAAGCCAGACCTCCAGGTCCCATCTTGTTTGGTATGAAAAAGAGCATTCAACTGGAGGCCAGATTCTGGGCTGTCATCATGACTCTAAGTGGGTTGTCAGAAGTGAGCCAGAAATCCTGGGTTTGAATCTTGGATCCATCACTTACTGGCTTTGTACGTTTGGGTAAAATATATACCTTCTATGTGGCTTGGTCTCCTCATCTGTAATGTGGGGCTACAATAGCACCTATGTCATAGTGTTGAACAAGGTTACCACTAGCGATAGAGATTCCTGATTCTAGATCATCCCACCTATCTATGCCTTCCTTTTCCATGTATAAATAGAGGTAATAGTGCCATCCATACAACACAGAAGGCTATGAGGACACTCAAGGGAGATGATATAATTGTTTTGAAAACTTGACACATGTGACAAATATGAAGGATTAGTTGGCTTACTCTTATAAAAACTTACACATATCCTGAAACACCCATACAAATATAGCTACAAGCACTTGATTGCTAACCAGAAAGCTGGCAGAAGGAAGGTTGGGCAATCCTACTTCCGTAGTGATACTGCCTCGGAAACCCAAGGAGGGGTTGCTATGAGTCGGGGCCGACTCGACGGCACATAACAACATACAATAAATACAAGTACAGTATAAAAGAGCAAAGGATTTCAAGTTAACATGTTTAAAATGTTTAAAGACTCTTTTACTTTTCTTTGTTTCACTGGTTAACTGCAGTTATTTTCCATGTTTGCCCCCAGACACATCTTTTCTTGGAGTAGCATATGATTCCTTCCACAGAACAGAAACTCTTTCTTTTCTAAAAGTGCATTCATTTATTCACTTCCTGGGAGCCTACACTGCCAGGCCATGTGCTAGAAATTTGGAGACCAATGAGACACGATCCCAAACACGCAAGAGGCCCTTATGTTCCACCTTGCTGACTGCACCGACCTCTTTTTATTAATCCACCCTTTTCTTCCAGACCTCTCACCTGCAGGCCATGAGGACTGTCTTATGGGCTCTAAACTGCTCACGGCTCACAACAATGACAACATCAGTCAAGATGTCACGGCTCCGGAGGCGATTAAGGTTGAGAAGAACATCACTGGCATGGCGGGTAAACTGAATACAGCTGTCCGCCGCTGAGGCCATTTTGTCTTCAGCTAAAAAGAAAGGGATCAAAATCCTGTTAGTTTTCCAGAACCTGTTTCCTGCTTACCAACTATGTCAGAGCAGATGGCTCAGCATATGTAAACTCAGGACCCTATGCTCGATTTCTGAACAATTCATGGCCCATCTCTGGCTCTTCACATTTATAAAATGGGGAGAATAATCTTTAACCAAGAAGTTGGGATAGAAAGCCCTTCAGAGGAAAAAGAATGAGGATGAATGTTTGTTGAGTATTTTTCTAAATACCAAATACTCTGTGAAGAGCTAAGAGGCAGTGTAGAGAAATGGAGAGAATCCATGTTTTGAAGGTTAACATGCTAGCTTTTCCATTTGCTATTTGTGTAACTTGGAGTGAGTTGTTTACTTTTTCTGAGCTCTGGTTTCCCCATCTGTACAATGGGAGTGAAAAAAAAAAAAAAAAACAACTCACTCACTGCCAGTGAGTTGAACCCAACTCAAGGCTACCCCTCCTTGGGTTTCTGAGGCGATATCACTATAGAAGTAGATTGCCCAAACTTCCTTCCAAGGAGTGGCTGGTGGGTTTGAACCACCAGCCTTCTGGTTAGCGTCAAATGCCTTAGGCACTATGCTACCAGAGCTCCTAAAATGGGAGTAACACCTATATGGTTGTAAAATTAGAGACCCATAATGTTGTTGTTGCTATTGTTAGGTGCTGTTGAGTTGGCTCTGACTTACAGCAACCCCATGAACAAAAGAAGGAAACACTGCCCTGTCCTGTGCCAGTCTCACAATTCTCACTATACTTGAGCCCATCGTTGCAGCCACTGTGTTTATCCATCTCGTTGAGCATCTTCTCTTCTTCGCTGACCCTTTACCAGCATGATATCCTTCGCCAAAGAACGGTCCCTTCTCACAATACAACCAAAGTAGGTAAGAGGAAGTCTGGCCATTCTCTCTTCCAAGGAGCATTCCAGTTGCACTTCTTCCAGGACTGATATGTTCATTCTTCTGGCAAGTCCATAGTATTTTTAGTATTCTTCACCAATACGACAATTCAAAAGCATCAACTCTTCTTTGGTTTTCCATATTCACTGTGCAGCTTTCACAAGCATATGAGGTGACTGAAAATACCATGGCTTGGGTCAGGCACACCTAAGTCTTCAAAGTGACATGTTTCCCAAAGCCACCACTCATCTACCAATTTGTTGTACCGTGGTGGCTCATGTGTTACTGTGAGGCTGGAGGCTATGCCACTGGTATTTCAAATACCATCAGGGTCACCCGTGGGGGACAGGTTTCAGCAGAGCTTCCAGACTAAGACAGCCTGGGAAGAAGGACAGGGCCACCTACTTCTGAAAGAACTGATCACTGAAAACCTTATGAATAGTGGTGAAACACTGTCTGATATACTACTGGAAAACTTCATTGACCCATAATAGGTTCTCAAAAATAGCAACTATTGTTGTATCTCATTTCATTATCACAGCCACCACATTGTCTCTCTCTAATAGTCTCACAGTTGTTTCACTTTGTACTTCAAACACATTGCTTGTGCTCAGTAGCTGGCTAAATGAGTTCTGAGTTAATGAATGAGTAAGGGCATGAACGACCATACAACAGTGTTATGATAGACTAGCAAAGGCATACAGGGGAGGATTGAGAGTGATAGAGAGGGAATCAGTTATCCTTTGTCTCACCTAATGAAAGGTGTTAGAGTTCACAGATATACATGCATTGGCAAATTCAAAAGAAACAGTCCACAAAATTTTAAAGCATATAATTCAACTTACTTACCCAGTGCCTTGATTCACAGTCCAAAGTTTTGCTTAAAACCTGCAGGGAAGAAAGGAGAGCAAACAGAAATTGATTTAATGAATGTAAGATTGTCCACTACGGTCTTATTTTAGGATACATATATTTAGTTTTGCTTTGATAGCTGCAGCCTGCCAGTTGGTGCGGTTTTACCACACGCTAGCAAACATTTTCCAGCTTTGCTCTTATGGAAACAACAGGCACCAAAAGCTATGCAATAATTATGTTATTACTATGAGGACTGTGAATACAATTGCATACATTAATTTCATATACATAAACACATATATTTACTTTCTTCCAGTAAAAATGTCACACAATCCAAAGGACACTTGAGTTTAAGTGAAAGAAAAAAATAAGAAAAGTTCTTGACTAAATTAATTATTATGATTCTTTAGGGACCTAGAAACACTAGATACTTTACAAAACCTGCTAAAATCTTATCTTTCCAGTCTTAGAATGATTGTGCAAGGCCAACAGGGTCAGTATCTTCGGTTTATTTCACTGGTGACGAAACTGAGACTAAGGGGTTCAAGTGGCTCACTCAGAACAAACAGCCAGGCAGTATTTCCTGACTTTCTGAAACATTTAAGATTGAATATGGAATCTGCAGAATACAACCTGAATCCACTTTTCCTGAGATTTTTTGCCCTTTTTTTCACAGTTTCCTCCCTTCTCCTTTCCTTCCTGGGAGACCAGGTGTCTACCACTTGCAAGTTTGTGCTTCCCCCTCCTGGTGAAATATCTTATCTAACTGTGTCCTTTAGCTGAGAACTGGAGAACTGGCCAGAGAACACGAAACTTTAAAAAGATTTAAAGAAATATGTACCCTCTTCAAAGCGATATCCCTAAAACAAAATAACTAAAAGCCAAGGTGTAAAACTCTAATTTATAATGGTATATGGGTTGCAAAACAAAACAATATTTGAACTCTTTTTTCCCCTTCTTTAAATGTATAGGCCTTTAGAGCTGCTTTGAGGTTTAAGGGACTGAGACCAGAGAGGTCATGTCAGGCCATGTAGATGGTTGATGGCCTGGCCCTAGGTCTTCTGGCTCAAAATTCTGCCCCCTCTCCAAATTAGCTTATGTGCTGAAGAACACAAAGGACAGCAGCCTAACGTGGGTAAATCTCATTTTTAAGCTCCTTCCCCACACAAGCACTTGACCCATTCCAGGCTGCTGAGTCTTACCAAATGAGCATTCTAAAATGAGAGATTTCCTTGAGTCTGTAACCAAACACTGACATTTCTCTGTGGTCTCAAGTGCCAATCACTCAATCTCACTGGCTTTAAGGTTAGTGTATGCATATGAGTGGGTGGGGACCAGGGTGAAGGAAATGGGGAAAGGAGAGGACAGAAAAAGATTAAAGGACCTGTCCCATTCTCTCCTCATCCTAACTCAAGATGGGTAAAGAGAGACAAGACACACTAAATCAGTCCTATTCGAAATTTAAAGATTGCCTCTTTTGAAAAAAAGAATACGAAGACACATGTGAGGTTTATTTATACACTCTCTTCTCTCCCCATCACCGAAGAGATCCCCAAACACTTCTGGGATACCTGGGCTTTCCTCTAACCAGCTGCAATCACCAGCTCACTTGTGGATTTCCAGTTTCAGGCTTTGGAACCACAGGAAGCCCAGATTTGCCATTTCACCTTGACAAATGGCAGTGACTCATTCCAAACGTGGATTGAAATGAACAAACAAAACAATTCCCCTGTGTCCACTGTGGGCCAGCCAGGCCCTGGGCTGGGCAATTTACACCTTAATTTTCTGCTTGGCCAAAAACAAATCCACACACACATCTTACTCTATCTTAGTGGCCCCTACAACCAGTGATTGGGTGGGTTAAGGTGGTTTAGGGTAATCTTGCTATTTCTCTAGATGTTGCAAGTGTGAACATAGCACCAGTTTTTGTTTACAGGCCACACAGATCTTTCCCATCTATTATTGTATCTGATCCATACAACCACCTGCTTTACTGGAGAGGATACCGAGGCTCTAGGGGATAAACTTTGCCTAAATTTCAAAGCTAATCAATCCTTAGCAAAGTCCTGGACAAACCCAACCTTTTTGTTCTGGTCATACTAGGGATGTAGTATGCAAGATGCATGCCACACACAAAACAAAACACCACCAAGAGGGCAGGACCATCAACCAGAAAGTAACAACAGCTCAGGCCCAGACCTAGAAGCCCCTTTCCCTTCTTCTTCCTCCTCTCCCCCAAAGCCCATTGGCTACAGTAACCACCAATTAAGAGTTAAAGGTTTTCTTCTCCACCCCCACACCTTTTCTCTCCTTTGGTGCTTTCCCCCAGGTATTTTAAAGTAGGCACCTTAAGGAGAAGGTTGATCCTGTGTAGGAGTTTCCACTGAAGAAGATAAAAGAAGGACCCCAAAAGAACAGCAAGAGAAAGAGAGAAAGCAGAAGACAGTAGAAGCGAGAGGGCAAAAGAAGAGGGAAGAGAAAAGAGAAGACGGAGAAAAGCGGGAGGGGAGGTTAAGAGTGTGAGCGAGCCAATACAAAAGACCCCATCCTTTTCCTCCTTCCTCTACTCTGCTGGCACCAGGAAGCCCGTTCTCTCTCACACACAAGGGCACAAACACTAGCCCTGGGCTCCAGGACAAATCCGGCTCAGATTAGCCCACCCCCAGACCCAGTACCTGTTGGCCAGGGACAGCCCACCCCAGGGCGTTTGGCAGGCACCGCTGCCCATCCGCCTCCAAGCCCCCGATGGCACGGCGGAGGCCCGGGGTAGTAGGACCGTGGTAGCCCTTAATTTAGTAGATTCAAATAGTTTTCGTGCACCTCTATAGCTAACATTGTGTGTGTGTGTGCGCCTTTTTTTTTTTTTTTTTCCTGTTACGCTGTCAAGACAGGGGGCAGTGAAGGGAATGGCACAGCCCTCTCATTCCCGGAAGGCAGTCGATCTCGGTTCAGCAGATTTCACAGAACACTCTCTGCCTATCGCCCGCTCCAACCAGAAGTAACTTTCCAGGAAGCTGCCGGCCCCCAATTGCCGCCAGGATCATAGCCTGCGCTGCGCAGGCCGCGGGGGATTCACCCTGGGAGAAGTAGGGACAAGGGGAGGTTCGCAGGGAATACTGCACACTTTCCCCTAAATCCCTTGTCCGTGCCAGATCCAGGACTCTCAGAGTTCACCTAGTCCAACTGCTCGCTTCTGCACCATAATTTCGTAAATATGGAAG